TTTTATCGACAGTTTAAACGCTCAGTAATATTAATTGCCAGACATGGAGTATTTAGTGTCTAGAACACTCATAACCGTTGAGTTACAAAATAATGAAAGTGGTAGACAGTAAACACACTAACACAACCATGAGTCTCATAGTTCAGGAGGCATTTAATCCCATAAACTAACACCTGAAACACCAACATCTAAAAACTCTATACCTACAGAATTCTCATAACGTGAATGTGCAATTATCCTGGAGAGACTAAAAGGCATCACTGCATTTTAATTACATTTTTGTGACAGATAACATAATAGAAAAGGACCATATAGTTTACGATGTTACAGCTTATGAAATGGTGCAGGGATATGAAAGAAATCCGTATATAACTGGCATCGATCAGTCAATAACAACTTACTGGTTGTGGTCCGACAGATGGTGCAACCCATTAGCTTGAAACGGTATTAGATGTGATTGAGAACAGAAGCCAATGGCTGTAATCATCATTCACATTCGTCTTATAATCCAGAACTCCTTTAACTGGGAGGATCCCAGTTCTGACATTCATATTAGTTGAAAGTTCTTTTGAGTCCCATATGTTCAATTCTTGCCTTTATGTCTGCACCAGGTCCCTCTTGTTAATCGATGATGATGCCCAGATAAGTGAACTTTTCCACATCTTCCAGAGTCTCTCCATCAAGTGTGACTGAACCAGTGTTCCCCGTGTTTTGTTTCAGGATCTTGCTTTTTCCCTAGTGTGTTTTGAGCCCTAACACTACAGACAGGTGTTGTTGTTACACTGACTGTCCTCACCTGCATTTGTCGGTGTATACGGGATAGAGGAGCTCGGTTATCTGCGAAGTCCCAATCGTCCAGTTGCATTCAACCTGTCCATCGTATTCCGTGCTTCCCCTCAGACGCAGGGTTTCATAATACACTCAACTGTCGGAAGAAAGAGGAAGGGAAATGTAAGCAGCCTTGTATGACTCCGGTCATCACTTGGAACGCATCTGCCAGCATTCCTTCATCCACGACTTTGAAGAGTAATCCCTCCTATGAATTCCGGATGATGTTGACAATCTTCGCAAGTACACCACAGTGTCTAAGGAGGTTCCATAAAGTTCTTCGATCTACGTTGTCAATCGCCTTCTCATAGTCAATGAAGTTGATGGGTAGTGATGAGTTCCATTCAATTGATCGTTCAACGATGATCCGTAGTGTCGCAATTTGATCTGTGCACGACCGATGCTTACGCAATCAGGTGTATCGATCCTAAAGTTGGGTGCCCACTAAATCTTTCATTCGGTTGGACAACACTCTGTTGAAAACCTCTCGTGGTACCGATTGTAGTGTGATCCCTCTGTAGTTCTCACATTTGCTCAGATCTACATTCTTTGATATCTTCATTTCTGTCTGTTGGAACTTGTTCCTCTGCAGTGTCGGTTGCTATTTCAAGCCCATATAGCTTATTCTAGCTTCCGGACAGGCCAATTTATTCATTCTTCTGGAGTCACATTTTGACCTTGTTAGTTATTCGCTTATCAACCTTGACTGTTTTTATGTAAGCGTATGCGTTTCTCATCTTACTCATCACATGACTGTAACATATTTTTGTTCAACTATAAATATCGATTCACGCTTAACTAAATTGAGTTGATTCACTCGCCTTCTCCATTGTGTGCCGTCCCGTTTTGCTTCGCTTTCCGATCAACGATTGTATGAAATATACGCACTGAAACTTAATTCTCATATATGACTCACTTAACTCCGTTAATCACTGACGCGATTTAAGTCGCTGATACTACACGAGGATTAACGTTACGTTTATTTCAATAGTAATCACTCATACGATTCAAATAAAGTCAGATATCGGGCCACTAAACCTCCCCCAAATATTCCTGAACAGAACGTGGAGCATGTTCGCAGTTGCCCCTATGTTTGACTTTAGTGCTTCGGCTGTTATGTTTTCTCTTCCTGCTGCTTTGCCGCTCTCGATTTGTCTTATGGCCATCCTGATTTCTTTGGTCGTTTATGCAGTGACATTAATAGGAAGGACTGTATGTGCTGCTTCGATATCCGGTGGATCTGGCCCATTCAAGAGTTCCCTAAAGTGTCCCCCCATATGTTCTTGGATTTCAGTGATTAGCCTGCCTTTTCCGTCTTTGATTGGTCTCGACGGTTCACTACATTTCCCTCCCACATTCTTTGTTACGTCATATAGTTTTTATATCCTCTGTTCCTGCTAGGTCTTCCAAGTACTTCTGATTGTCGGTTTTAATGCTCCTCTTCACTTGCTTGTTTGTTTCAGTGTATTCAGCTTGTGACTTGGCCCTCTCTGTTCTTGTTCAACTGTTGTTAGTTGCTGTCTCCTTGTTCTTCCTTTATTGAATACTGTCTAACGTTTCGATAGATGTCCAATCCTTATGATGATGGTTCTTGCGGCTCAGAACATCCTGACATGTTGAAGTTAGTGCTTGTTTGATCCCTTTCCGGTTATCCTTCATAGTAGTCTCATCTTCGTTGGATAGCTATTGCAAGGCTTGAAACACACTGTTGAGAGCTATCTTGAATTCATCCAGTTTGACTGTATTTCAAAAGAAGTTTGTATTGAACCTTTGAACTACTGTTTCTCCAGTTGTCCAGTGTTTCTTTAGCTTCAGTTTGATTTTGGCCACAACCAGTTGGTGGTGATCTGGAGTTATGTCAGGCTCTCTCCTGCTTCACACGTTTTCCATTGAACTTCTGAATCTCTTAGGGATGCTTTGATGATCCTGGATCCGTGAGATTCACATCCCATAAGTGCACTTTGTGCTCCTACAGACAGCATCACAGCAAATCCCTGAGTGTGTGGGTCATCTTCCTCTTCGTGACCAGAGTACAGCAGCATCTCCTGAATTCAAACTTTTCTGTTCAGCTTGGGTCCAATGGGTTTCACTGATTCCGAGCACTGTCAAGTTGTATCTCCTCATTTCCGTAGGTATCTGATTGGTCCTCCCGGTCTCTCACATTGTCTGGACATCCATCCCATGTACCTATACTAATTGCTGCTCTGGTTGTTAGGAGGGGAGATCGGTCTCATAACTTTCGGAGAATCTTGGCTTTCACCATGTGGCACCACAATTCCTCCGAATGAAGATCGTCAAACTCTCAGGGCAGAGTTTAAATGGTCCAATTTATTTATTCTGGTTAGGGCTTTTTGACAAAGCCGTTTCCTACGAGGCCGGGTTGCTGACCCCGTGTCCAACCATCTTCCTTTACCCGGGCTTGATACCGGCAGTAAACCTAGAAGAGCTGCAGGCGGAGTTACATAGTTTTCACATTTACTTCAAAGAATTGTGTATAATATGGAAATTTTCGATAGGTGACGTACGACGTTAGTTTACGGACTCAAAATGAAACCTTAAGCTGAAAGCCATAAATGACTGCATATTTATTCACTTCAGTATAATAAACCAATGAGACCTTTTAATAGTCTGTATCGTTTTATACTCTACTGGACGTTCCGTCGGGTATATAATTTAGTTTAGCCCTCTCACAATCTATGGAGGGAGTACCACAAATTGTAGGTACGACCGGGTGTGTTGGAATGTAGTAAATCCAGTTAATACGAGTAGTCAAGTTCCGGGATTTCATACTGACGGAGATGGTCTTAGTAACTTCTCAGGAATCTATTGGTGGGAAATCTGACATTGAATAATATTTTTATTATCTTGTTTAATGTACATGGGCGTCGATGAATTACTGCAACGTGACGCGGAACCCGGTCAAGCGAATGCTCCATTCCGTACCAACCAAGTGAACAGATTGAACAGGACTCCTGCATTGTGTAGATATGCAATACTTCCAGGTCTCGAGCAAAATTCCAGACCCACGTACTAACTTCCAGGCGTAACTACAAGAGAATAAACTGTTTTATCTTAGTTTTATACTTGTAAAGTAGTCCATTTGAGACATGTTGCAGACTACAGGTAAACCTTAAGAAACTCCTCTCTCGAAGTACCTCAAGTTGAAAAAGATTTAGAAGTGCTAGTAACCTACGGTCTGAAGTATTACGCTAACTGTGACAAAAATGCCTTCCGAGCAAACCTTGCACTGGTGACATCGAAGCGCATTTCTGGCCAGTTTTTGACGGAAAACTCTCAACACAATCTTCAATATATACGAATATTCGTCGAGATTAGAACGAATAGTTTGACAGTAATTGAGCGCCGAGTATAGAGAAGTCATTATATGTGAAAATTATATTTGAAATATTCTCAGCGATTGAAATTTAACTAATTTCAACGTTTCGTCCAGCTAACTTGTCTGGACTTCTTTGATTTTGATTATTACCCTGAAGAAGTCCAGACAAGTTAGCTGGACGAAACGTTGGAATTAGTTAAATTTCAATCGCTGAGAATATTTCAAATATAATTTTCACATATAATGACAATCTTCAATAGTTTTATTCGTCCCTATTTGGAGTATAGAAAAATAGTATTAACCTCCTTACTCCAATAGGATAAGGACACTCTAGAACGTATTCAACAGCCAGCCACGAAATCATCTCGGGAGCTCAAATTCAAGCCTTATGGACATAGCCTCCAATCAATTAACCTTTACCCATTAGAGTATAGGCGTCTTAGAGGTGACCTTTTAATGGCTTACGGTATCCTTAACACTTCTGGACATCTCCTTAAACACCTAAATAAGCTTAGTCTCAATACAAACCTACGGATAACACCCAGAAATTGGAGACAAAATAGCAGAACGGACTGCAGACACAACTTCTACTCCTTAAGAGTTGTCAAATGCTGGAATTCGCCGCTGGATGAGCTAGTTCAAGCGACTTCCCAGGAGTCCTTTAAGAGGAAACTTGATCTATTCTTAAGGACTAAAGATAGTATCACATTATGATTTACTAATTTCTTTTCCTCTTTTATTGTTAACATACCTAGGTTCCTGCCTGGAGGATTTGGTGATCCCCTGCTACTAGACACGGAAGCCTGTTAAGCGAAAGCTTCTTCTATTCCGTCCACAACCATTTGAACCATTTGAACCTTGTTCGAGAGGGAGTTCAATATATACAAGGTCGGCATCGGGAATTGGTCGTCCAGATGATAGGTCAGTCACAGTCATGTCCAAGCTGCAGGTCTAGCAAGTACAGTAACCCACAGTTAAAATTGATGGTTAACGTATGTGGTCACTCACTGTAAGTGTATACAATATTCATGATGTTCACTCAAGGTGTGAAAACTGCGTCGAAGTGCTTTTTGTTCGAGGTTCAGGTTTATGTGCCCAATGCAAAACTCCTATACGCAAAACCAATTTTCGTTATCAGCTGTTTGAGGACCCTTTGGTACAAAAAGAAATAGATATTCGCAAAAAGCTACTGGGCGAGTATGTTGATGTTTCTAAATGGAATTTATGACAGTTTTAATAAACGTGAGGATGATTTTGACTGCTTAGAGGAGTACAATCTCTACCTAGAAAAAATAGAAAGCCTGAGTATGACTCCTGACTTTTTACTTATCTTATAGTTTACAATCTTACAAACGATATAAATGTCGAAGAAACAAAACGTTATATTGAGAATTATAAAAAGGAAAATAAAGAGATAATCAAGAAAAATCGAACTAAACCTGTAAGTTATTTCCGTGATCACATTTGTCCTTGAGTGTCAGTAACACTGATCTTATTTGTGTATGCAGTTACTTGTATTTCTGATCATATGTTCTCTAAAATGTCTAAGAAATAACGGCAAAATTGGGTGTTATTAATGTGTAAGCGGTAGTAATTCTTAAACATTGTCTGTCACCCTGAGTGGCCGCTTAGTGGTTTAAATATACTGACTCAACCTATCGATTCATTGAAATAAACCGAATTATTTGTTGCTTTAAACAACGTGATAGGTTGTAAGTCCCCACAACATACTAGTTGAAACCTTGTGCATGAGTACATCTGGTTGCAAAGTCTTAGGCTTATTCTCATCCATCGTACTACCTTCGTTTGTATCATTACATCTTACACCATTCATGTCTGGTGTGGAAGAAAGTACTGTGAATCAGACTGCCATATACGGTAACATGAAGGTTTATTTTCACCCAGCTTACCCTAATTCAGTAAATGTACGGTCACCACTTCAGATGTCACGTAAAACTAACGTGGTTTGATTGTTTATCACAAATTATTTTAGTTGCCTTCGTAATGGGTATCTTGGGAATTCCAGGTAAATTAAAATGGCTAGGTGAAGTGTAATCCATCGATTAATAAACTAACCAACAAATAATGTTCTTATTTTCAAACTTATTGATATCCCACGTTGAGCGACTTATATAGGGTCGTAAATAAATAATCAAAGCGTTGTTTTATGCCACACTTAACACGTAGTTCGAGTATACAATATATCGCCTTATCTTTCGTGCCTTAAATCTTGCTCTGAATACCACCTGTCAGCTGTCACAATTAAAAATAAAAATACATCTTAACATTTAGCTGATGTAATAGAATCCTTTCTCATTAGCTGAGTTTAGCGGTTATAAATTTGCTTGACACAAACGTTGATTAAAAATGTTCCTAAATACCTTATATGACTGCAATAACTTTTGAAGTTGATTTTTTTTCTAAAGACAATTTTCCTTCAGAGCTAATTCATCAAGTTATGTAGTCTAAGCATAATCAGTGAAGCGACCGAAGATATTGACCATTTCACTTCTATCTACAGTACGCTGTGACTGGCTGGCTATCAACCGTAGTGGTTACTAGTATTTTCTCACAGTTGTTTTCAAAAAAGTTGCTCAAGTATGATGGAAGAACTGAGTAATGCTGGATTTAGGGATACGGTACCAGATTGTTCGTGTGCTATTAGCCTTCATTAACTACGGTTAAAAATTATTTTACGCGTGTTTAACTACTTCCTACCCTGAAATGCGTCACTAGTTGGTACAAGAGGAGGTTTGGAAAAGTCTAATGCAATAAAAATTACATCAATCCACAAATTAATCGACTATCTTTCTGAGCCATATCGACAGACCCATAATTTCTGATTGGGGCTAGCGCAATAGTCTGAGTTTGTAGTTAGTGTTGGGTAACATGGTACAAACTACCATGATTTACCCATATACCGCGCACAGATTTATGAACTCAGCTTTGTACCACATATTAGTTGAGGTCTAGCCTTGCTATGAAGTTGCTCAAATTAAGTGGGGCCAAGTCCCTTGCATTGGTGCAGCTGTATTTATTCTGTATCTTCTAGATGTCAAGTAAACTATCTCCCTAGTCTGAATGCTTGCTTTTGAACTACATTTCTCATCTTTAGATATACATCTCAGTTGAGTTTATTTCTTTGTGTTGGTTATACCCAGCTACCACCTACCTTAAGTCTTAATGCTGGCTGAAATATGAACCGATTGCAAGGAATCTGAATAATTGAGTCAAGATGTGGGGTCATTCCTTGAAGTTATTAACTGTTTGACTAAGTCCTGCTGTTAGATGAAAACTACCTGATTACGGTCTGTTCTATGATCCGAATCAGTGGCTAGCAAATCTTGAGCGTTGTTGCTACCTTGACGTGGTGGTCGGGCTTGCCTATCGTGATGAAGCAACCGAGCTATACTGGCTGGAACAACCGTTCCTCAAGGTCCTACCATGTCAGACAGGTCGGTTGAAGAGCGGTAAGACTAAAAGCAACAAACCCAAGGTCCGAAGGCGAAGTCGTACTGCTGACTGTACAGAGGTGTGACAGCAGTAAGGTGTTTCCTTCAGACAACCAGCATGACAGCGATGCTGCCTTCCCACAAGGAGGGGTGGGGTTAGAAAAGGTCGACCCTAAAAATGCACACCTCGCCTTATCCCACGGATATCCGTCTCCGGCGGTAAGGTCTCAATAAGTACGGAGCTAACACAAAAATTACCCATAACAAGGTCGTGTGTGACCGACCTCAAGCAGTTGTCCCTTGGGCATTGCGGTCACGCTCTCAGGTCACTAAGACCACCTTTAATCCAAATTCCTTTTCTGGTACCTCCAGAAGAACCCTTCCACGGTGTGGGCAACCGGGAAGTGAAAACCGCCCTCATACCTCTAACAGCACTCAAGACCACTGTATTCATAATCAACCTTCCTCTTCAATTCCTATTATTCCTCCTACATCGACTTTCAACTTTAAATTTCCTCGGCTTCCACCTCAAGTGTCACCATAGCCAACGATTCTAGTGCGCAAAATACTGTCCCAGGTCTACTGAAACCTCGCTCCAAACTACACATTGGAGCCTTCAACGTACGAACCCTATGTCAAATCGGTCAGCAGGCTTCCTTGGCTAAAACCCTAAAGTCTCTTACCATTAACGTGTGCTGTGTCTCCGAAACACGCATACAGGATTCCAGTGTGGTCATTCACTTGACCTCACCTCGGGAAAACGGAGAGCCAACGAGGTACACCCTTCGTGTATCTGGTGACCCGATGGCAAGTTCTCGTGGACTGGCAGGTGTAGGCATAGCACTAAGCATGAGGGCCGAACAAGCACTGCTAGAGTGGATCCCCGTCAACAGTCGTCTATGTGCTGTTCGGCTGAACGGCTACGTAAGAACTCGGAAGGATAGGGACACACGTCGTTGCCTTTTTGTCGTTTCCGCCTACGCTCCCACTGACTGCAGCTCAGATGATGTGAAAGACGAATTTTACAGAAAGCTGTCCGAACTTCTTCAGAAAGCTAAACGCTCAGACATAGTACTCGTAGCAGGTGATTTTAATGCTCAGATAGGTGGTTTAAACCAAACAGAAAGGCATTTAGGTGGATATTGTAGTATTCCGACACAGCGAACAGATAATGGTGATCGTCTGCTGCAACTGTGCTCAGACAATCGTTTATTTTTAGCAAACACAAATTTTAAGCATAAGGAGAGACATCGTCTAACATGGCGACCCCCTACACCAAACCAACGATGGACTCAAATAGACCATATTGCCATCAGTCATCGTTGGAGAGGGTCGGTAGAAGATTGTCGCTCATTCTGGAGTACCTGCTTGGACTCCGACCATGCCCTAATACGGGCACGCATCTGCTTGCGCCTCACTGGACGCAAAAAAGCCACATTAAAAAGACCCGTTAGAACTGATTTGAGTAACGAGAAAACCAAAAGTAGGTTCCAGGAACAACTGAGGTCACACTTAGGTAGTTGTGAAGACGAGGCTGACCCAGATGTTGCTTGGAAAGGCATACAATCAGCTGTGGAAACAGCAGTGACATCTATTAGTGACTTAAACCACAGAGTTGCAAGGAACCAGTGGATTTCTTCAAGGTCTGTCACACTGATGGATTCTCACAAACTCGTCCCATCAGGTTCTGAACATGATGAAGAGCGAAAACAAATCAGATCTAGGTTAAGAAAAAGTCTAAAGAACGACCGTGAGCAGTGGTGGGTAACGAAAGCAAAAGAGATGGAAAAGGCGGCGACTATAGGGAACACAAGACAGCTTTACAGACTAATAAAAGAAACTGGAATTAATAAGTCAAGTGTAAGTGAGATTATTTCGGAAAAAGATGATACTCTCATCTGCTCCCAGTCCAGACGTTTAGAACGATGGGCGGAACATTTTAGAGAACAGTTCAGCTGGCCTTCAGCTACTCTACAACTACCCTCCATTCCCAGACAGTGTGAATGGAACATTGAAGTAGGTCCCCCAACTCTTGCTGAAGTTGAGAAGGCTATAGTTAATCTAAAACGAGGAAGGGCAGCTGGTCCAGATGGATTGGCTCCAGAGGTCTTTAAGGATGGTGGTCCAATTTTAGCGATTAAGTTGACTAATATTTTAGCTAAGATCTGGGAATTAGACTTTATCCCATCTGACTGGTCGCAATCACTTATCGTCCCAATATATAAGAAAGGGTCAAAATCATCCTGTGACAACCACAGAGGGATTAGTTTAACAAACATAGTTTCTAAAATACTGGCCTCGATAATTATCAAACGCCTAACTAAGACTCGTGAACTACAAACACGAGAGAACCAAGCTGGCTTTAGACCTGGTCGTGGCTGCATCGACCACATATTCACCATTCGTCAGGTTCTAGAACATAGGCATACCTATCGGCGTCCGACAATGGTGGTCTTTCTTGACTTAAAAGCAGCATTTGACTCGGTAGACCGCGAGACTCTGTGGCAGTGTCTGTCATTGAAAGGCGTACCTCAGAAGTACATAAACCTTGTGAAGGCTCTTTACTCGAACACTACTAGTCGAGTCAGGGCTTATGGCGAACTGTCATCTACTTTTCCAACCTCAAGTGGTGTCTGTCAAGGCTGTCCACTTTCCCCATTTTTGTTTAACTTCATCATAGATCTACTGAAGGAAATAACTTTCTCGTCGACTGAGTTCTCGGGTATTGATCTCCATTCAGGAGGTCCACTTATCGACTTAGAATACGCAGATGATATAGTCCTGTTTGGTGAAGACGGTGACAAAATGCAGAGTCTTTTGTTAGCACTAAGCAACAATGCCAGAATGTTTGGAATGCGCTCCTCTCCCTCGAAATGCAAGTTGTTGCTTCAGGACTGGTCTGCGTCAACACCTGAACTAAGGATAGGGAGTGAAGTAGTCGAACGCGTTGACAACTTCACTTATCTTGGAAGTGTGATCAGCCCTAATGGGTTGGTATCGGACGAAATCTCAGCACGGATTCGAAAAGCTCGTTTGGCTTTTGCCAACTTGCGTCACCTTTGGCGAAGGCGAGATATCCGTCTATCAATAGAAGGACGAGTATACTGCGCGGCAGTTCGTTCTGTTTTACTTTACGGCAGCGAAACATGGCCCTTAAGAGTAGAAGACACCCGTAAGCTACTAGTATTTGACCACAGATGCCTTAGAAATATTGCTGGCATCTGCTGGGATCACCGGGTAAGTAATAGCGAGGTTAGACGCAGGGTATTAGGGAATGATGGTAAATCAGTTGATGAGGTTATGAATCTTCATCGACTGAGATGGTTGGGCCACGTATTACGTATGCCTGAATACCGATTACCACGACGTGCAATGCTAACCGGGGTAGGGGATGGTTGGAAGAAAGTTAGGGGCGGCCAAACCAAAACGTGGCATCAGTGCCTGAAGTCACTAACTTCTAGTCTGAGCCACGTTGGTAGATGCAGACTACTTGGTTGGGGTCCGCGTGACTTTCGTAACCAATGGTTGGAGACTCTTGGTGACATGGCTCGGAATCGATCACAATGGCGTCGGTGTATACACTCCCTGTCTTCCCTTAAACTAAGAGACTAAAATCACTTCATTCTTTCTGTCTACGAACTAATTCTTTCTTCCTATAATATATCCTTATTGCAACCTTTGACCTAACCACTCCTATGAATCCGCTGTTCATCTTGCTGTGCTAATGAAGTATGGCAACCTGAACCGATGCACATATGTGCCTGGTCCTACGTTGTAGCTGACTGACTGAAATCTTGAGCGTCATTTCTTCTTCCTAAATAGCTTCATCCCAGGCCATATCAATATTTATTATTTTTAACTATCATACTACCACCATCTCGATTCCGTCAATAATCACCTTCCCGATTTGATCTTATTGTGCTTATCTAATATAGTAACCTAGATTGACGCATTTGTTTTAGAGTATGCTTCCATTTACTTTTCATCTTGTCTCTTTCTTCTCACTTTGCTTATGTGGGGCTTAGCAATTTGGGCCGGGATGCATTTTACAACTGACTGATTTCCTGGCTATTCCCTAGTATGTCTTGTTTTTGAACAATTTTGTATAGCTCTAGCTAATTTCTTATTCTGTTTTAACAAGTTAAAGGTCCTTAAGGAATTCGAACTCCTGAAGCGTCGTAAGTCACTAAGCCCAAAGTGTCTGCTCTCAGCTCTTTTCAGTGGTAGTGATGAATATGTAGTCAGAAAACTAACTCGGTTGTTTGGGAAACGAAATGTTCCAGCATCTTGGATCGAAGTGATTGCCTTTCCTACCTTTTAAAGTTTCCACGTAATCTATGTAATGACAGTTGGGGGACAAGTGTGGTTTCTATCGAGTCTAAATTATTTGCACTCACCATAATCTGCGAATTGTACGAAACCCGTGGAAGAATAACGCATAAAGAGCAGTGCGGTTTTTGTTCCGGCTATCGATGTATAAATAACACCTCCAAATCTTGGTACCTTTTCACGCTTTTTGCCGACCAGCCCCGTGTTTCTTAATATCAAAGCTGTCTTAGATTCACTGAACACTAATCTGTAAAGGCACTGTTTATAAACACATGGGGAATAATTAGGATATACAGATGCCTCTTTCTGTTGTTACATTTCAGCAGTGGAATTATGAGAACGTTTGCCATTACCACTATTTATATTCGACCTTGCTACCAATGATTTTCTAGAAACAGCTCTGACGGAAGTACATAGTGATGCGGATCTGTTTTTTGAAGACTTCCTAGTCTTGAGTAGCTGGGTCATATTGTGATGCTACGCGATGATACTCAGGCTATACAAATAACATTTAATGAGTTGATGATTAGTTTCCGTAAATTGGGCATGTAACTTGCACCCAAATGCAAAGCACTTTTCCAAGACTGGCAGGAACATGTGTCTGCACCTATTCTGTGGTGAGCCGTTAAGAGTAGTCAGAAGTTCTTTGTACCTTGGTATTTGTGTGAGTGCTGGTATTGACCTGATAGTTAAAGTTAATGTACGTATGGTAAAGACTACAGTGACTTATTCTAATCTGCGTCATATTGAGCATCGTCATGGTGTTCGTCTGGCTGTAAAGGGTTAGGTTTACAACGCATCGGTGCGAGTTTTTCTCTGCTTGTAAAGCCTGGTCTCTGAGTTAAGGTTTCCCAGCAATTCCTTGTATTCGACTATCGTTGTCTCCGAAGGGCTGCTGACACTCAATGACTATACCATATACTGCTGAGGTTCAGTAGTATTTTCTTGCCGAGTGATGATGCTTTAGTTGTGGCACGGAATAGAAGCCAATGACAATCCTATTCTAGCTTCCTGTGATGTTTTTCATAACGTTTAGAAAATTTTCCTTAACTGAAAGCAGTTACCCTTAAGCATATTTTCAACTGAATCGTATCTATTTTTAAAAACCATTCTTGCTAATTTACTTATTGACCATACATCCATTCCTTCATTTATTTTTAAACAATATTATCCCTTGATTTGTGTGAGACACTGGTTTTGATCCCTGATTGTACCAGAATCTGCGTGGATAATAAACATTTAGATTAAACGAAAGCGTTTGGAAAAGTTATTTAGAGGAAAAATTGTTTATGGAATTTAGAAGATTCGCTTTATTCCATGGCAATCAGTGATGCTTTTTTAGTGTATCTGAAGTGACATTCCAAGTATGTTGTTTACTCTTACTTTTGTGAATTACATTGATGGTAATTTTTGCATGTGCCAAGGCAATGAATTACAATAGCGTACTGTATACCGATACGGTGTGTATTGGTTTGTTCTAATCTAATATGAACAAAAGAGTAATGTTGTGAAGGAAAATCATAACTAGTGTCTGTGAAACCTTAAGTATTTTATTGCTTAGAGATTTACCAATTGCTTCAAACTGGGTTGTCTGAGATTTTGGTAGAATCAGCACTCACATTTTATGCGGTACCGGGGAGCTAAGAAATATGGTTGCCTATTTGTTCTCGGGTCACACCGAAACAAAGTGCTTCTTTACAAATTTAAAGAAACTGTACTTCCTGTGTCCAATGGATTTAAACTAGGGTAAAAACTTATGAGTCACTACCTCCTGACTGTATTACAAGCAGAAGTGGATGGTAGCTAGCAGTGGGATCTAGGGCGCACGCTTCATCCCATTTGGGACTTATCAGATGGATGTACCTGCATCCTAGAGTCAGTGCCCACCCTGGGACTCGAACCCAATACCATCCGTCTCAAACGCCATCGCGTTATCCTCTTAGCTACTGTATCCAGAGACTGGTCGATTGCAGTCTAATACATCAATGGGAAGATTCAAACTACCAATATATAAAATGGATTGGATTCCTGACTATATGTTCTGTTAGTTGTTAATTCTCGCATGAAAGGATAGTATAATGTAACTCAATTTTGAAGTGTAATTCCAAAATTAACTGCTTCGCAAATAAATCTTTCGCTTCATTTTCCTTCGCAGTCCTCCTCGATGGCATTTTACGATTCTGAGTTAGAACGTGAATGTATGTTGAGGGAAAAGCGAGAACGAGAGGAAGAAGAGGAAAGTGGAACTTTAAAAGTATTAGAAAATACCCGTGGTTCTGATGACCCTAATGGTCCAATCACAACTGAATCTGAAGGAGAAAAGCGGAAGAACAATATTCCCCCAACACCCCGAACAAATATGCTCATTCCACCTACCTCAGCTTTTGGACGTCGGGCTCCTGCGACATTTATCCCACCATCAGTGTACGCCCCTCCTTCATACATACCACCACCTACGCAGGCTCTGGGGCATGCACCCAGTTCTGCGTTCACAACACGTCCAATAGTCACTCCTGTGAGCGGTTTTATGGCTCCACCTTCTATGCTTCCAGTAGCCCCACCTACTGGTGGTCTCACAAACAACTGGGTCAGTGGAACACACCACATGATACATCTCCCTCCCACAGCTTCTCTCCGGAAACAACAGGACACTGTTTTGATTCCTAGTCAAAACACGGTACGTTTACTTTTATTCTGATACAGATTTTGACATCTATTCATGCTGTTTCTCTAAGTACAGATATCGGACTTGGAGAGGAGAATTAATGGTTACAGCATTCGATTTCCAATCAACAAATCTTGGGTTTAGAATAACTTTACTGAATGAAGGGGAATATTTGTGAAGTAGTCTGTCTAAACAGGGGGGTGGGACTAAGTGTTAGGACAAATTATCATGCACTTGAAGATTTATTAGTTATCTAATACACAGTTTCCAAATTCACATTCTTAGAGTGATATGGCTCATAATCAGTCGGACTAGTCTAAATTCATTTTCCCCTAAATCTTGAGTCTTACTATTCCCTTGTAAATGCCTTTCCAAATCATGTTTTCGATTACCTTGTTATCCGTTTTGTTAACATGATCCCGATGTCCTAATGGGATTGATTATCCAGAAAATTTTCTTATCGACTTAGATGCACAGATGAGATAGTTTTGTTTGGTAAAAGCTCTAATAAAATACATTCCTCTGGTCGTTTTGAATAATAATGTCGGGTATGTTTCGGATGCATTTATCTTCCTTTTAATACGAAGTATTCCTTTGCTACTTATGTGCTTCAGTGTCTAGATTCGTACTAGGTGGGGATGTAGTTGAGCGCCTATCTTAAATTTCTTGTCACTAATAGTTATCTGGTATATAGCAACTCTTCCACAATCAATTTTGATTGCGATTAATTTTGTCGAGCCCTTTTATTAATTTATCTACAGACAGTGTTTTTGGAACAGTGACAATTCGTCTATTTCTTTGAATGTTTATGACCACTATCATGTCTGTATAAACGTGTATGCTTGATCACATGTGACAGCCTACACACATATCTCTAATCTTCTAAATTCTCCATGTCCCTTTTTTTTCTCTTTCCAAATTTATTTCACTGGATTATACTCCTTGAATAACATCTTCAAACCCTAATTTTCCCGATTACTGCTTATAGTTTTACTACCTCTACTACTATGGGATTTGAATCGACAATTGTATCTGTGTGCTAATGTGGTATGGCAACTTGAACTGATGTACGTACGTACGAAGTTCTGCGTTGTTACTAATTGACTGACTCTCTAGCTGAAATGTTAATATCTTAAATATCGCTTAATGAGTCATTGTCTTCCCCATGTATATACGTACTCGAATCCTATTATTAGCCTTTGCCTTGCCTAGCTGCGCCTTATTCGATGTGAGTGCAAATTTGCCTATGTATTTGCTCGTATATATACATTCGCCGCACTTCTTCGAATTCGCTCAATGTGCTTGTAGCTTTGTTATCTGTACTGTCCGTTAATAAACTGCGGTTGCCGCTTCTTATCGCCTTCTCAATTTAGACACCGTTAGGATTTATATAATAACGGTTATCAAAGTGACTGATTAGCGAAGCCAAGCCACCACAGGTATATGATGAAACCTCGACACGGATTCGAAAAAATTGCTTCTTTTGTCGAAACTTGTAACCTGATGTTTTAAAGTTAAATGAACTATCTATTCTTCCACTGCCATGCTACAGTCTACTCGTAGGGACAACTGGTTAATATCAGTAGCCCCTGCACAATAGAGTGTAGATCAAAGTTATATACATAAAAAGTCACCTGATAAATGAGTTATTTAAAGACAGCCTACTGTTTAGTGCTTAACTACCTAAAATTTTTCAGCTAATTCAAACCATCTAGTTACTAAATTTGTTTCCAAAATATACTTTGTTTTATTTACTCATATGTTTTCCTTTATTGGTAAGATTTTCTAGAAGAACATACATAAAAATTCAGACTTCTTTCTCTTTTCCTAGACAACCGTTGCTTTTATAATTACCATTACTTTTTTTATTACTAAAATTGTTATTTGGCTTTATCACGTTGTTTTTTAGAATCATAACGCAAAAAACCATACATCTCCACTTCAGTTTGTATATGAACCTTATATAGTTGAGTTGTGTGGTCCTATGCCACCACTTTCTAGTAATCAGCATATTCGTTGGATTGATGTTCTTCAAATGTATGAAAAAACTGTAATTGCTAAACTCAATCATCAAGCACAAACATCAGCAAACGATTCCGAAACCAAGCCTAAGTCAGAAACAGGGGAATTCGACGCTGTAGATTGTGATCGAACTGCTGTTGGTATTAAGACAAATTACAAGACAGAAGAAAGTTTCTTAAGTGATGAGGTGAAAAAAGAGTATGATAGTGATGACAGTAACCATACCGATATTAAAATCAATGTTTCAAAGATGGAAGACTCCTGTCCGACAACTAAGTCTTCGGGCCTTTCTTGTCAGCTAACTGCTGGAGCTTGTGGTATTTCACCTGCTGTTTTTATAGAAAGGTGTCTGCTAGAATCACGTTGTGGACTTTTTATGTGACTTATAAAAACAGAAATCTTATTGAAGATAATTTTTGTACATAAATTATTTGTTTTAGAACGAAATATACGTTTAGTTAGATGTTATCTTCTGTCAAAATCGTAGTTTGATGATATTTTTTGTTTGATGAACAAGTTTTCACTGTCATTATTTCGGACTACGGTTCTCCGGGATTGTTCTAATTATATGGCCGTATTGGGTAACCGAGCTTCGCCTGTAGCTCTTCTAGGTTTACTGCCGGTATCAAGCCCGGGTAAAGGAAGACGGTTGGACACGGGGTCAGCAACCCGGCCTCGTAGGAAACGGCTTTGTCAAAAAGCCCTAACCAGAATAAATAAATTGGACCATTTAAACTCTGCCCTGAGAGTTTGACGATCTTCATTCGGAGGAATTGTGGTGCCACATGGTGAAAGCCAAGATTCTCCGAAAGTTATGAGACCGATCTCCCCTCCTAACAACCAGAGCAGCAATTAGTATAGGTACATGGGATGGATGTCCAGACAATGTGAGAGACCGGGAGGACCAATCAGATACCTACGGAAATGAGGAGATACAACTTGACAGTGCTCGGAATCAGTGAAACCCATTGGACCCAAGCTGAACAGAAAAGTTTGAATTCAGGAGATGCTGCTGTACTCTGGTCACGAAGAGGAAGATGACCCACACACTCAGGGATTTGCTGTGATGCTGTCTGTAGGAGCACAAAGTGCACTTATGGGATGTGAATCTCACGGATCCAGGATCATCAAAGCATCCCTAAGAGATTCAGAAGTTCAATGGAAAACGTGTGAAGCAGGAGAGAGCCTGACATAACTCCAGATCACCACCAACTGGTTGTGGCCAAAATCAAACTGAAGCTAAAGAAACACTGGACAACTGGAGAAACAGTAGTTCAAAGGTTCAATACAAACTTCTTTTGAAATACAGTCAAACTGGATGAATTCAAGATAGCTCTCAACAGTGTGTTTCAAGCCTTGCAATAGCTATCCAACGAAGATGAGACTACTATGAAGGATAACCGGAAAGGGATCAAACAAGCACTAACTTCAACATGTCAGGATGTTCTGAGCCGCAAGAACCATCATCATAAGGATTGGACATCTATCGAAACGTTAGACAGTATTCAATAAAGGAAGAACAAGGAGACAGCAACTAACAACAGTTGAACAAGAACAGAGAGGGCCAAGTCACAAGCTGAATACACTGAAACAAACAAGCAAGTGAAGAGGAGCATTAAAACCGACAATCAGAAGTACTTGGAAGACCTAGCAGGAACAGAGGATATAAAAACTATATGACGTAACAAAGAATGTGGGAGGGAAATGTAGTGAACCGTCGAGACCAATCAAAGACGGAAAAGGCAGGCTAATCACTGAAATCCAAGAACATATGGGGGGACACTTTAGGGAACTCTTGAATGGGCCAGATCCACCGGATATCGAAGCAGCACATACAGTCCTTCCTATTAATGTCACTGCATAAACGACCAAAGAAATCAGGATGGCCATAAGACAAATCGAGAGCGGCAAAGCAGCAGGAAGAGAAAACATAACAGCCGAAGCACTAAAGTCAAACATAGGGGCAACTGCGAACATGCTCCACGTTCTGTTCAGGAATATTTGGGGGAGGTTTAGTGGCCCGATATCTGACTTTATTTGAATCGTATGAGTGATTACTATTGAAATAAACGTAACGTTAATCCTCGTGTAGTATCAGCGACTTAAATCGCGTCAGTGATTAACGGAGTTAAGTGAGTCATATATGAGAATTAAGTTTCAGTGCGTATATTTCATACAATCGTTGATCGGAAAGCGAAGCAAAACGGGACGGGACACAATGGAGAAGGCGAGTGAATCAACTCAATTTAGTTAAGCGTGAATCGATATTTATAGTTGAACAAAAATATGTTACAGTCATGTGATGAGTAAGATGAGAAACGCATACGCTTACATAAAAACAGTCAAGGTTGATAAGCGAATAACTAACAAGGTCAAAATGTGACTCCAGAAGAATGAATAAATTGGCCTGTCCGGAAGCTAGAATAAGCTATATGGGCTTGAAATAGCAACCGACACTGCAGAGGAACAAGTTCCAACAGACAGAAATGAAGATATCAAAGAATGTAGATCTGAGCAAATGTGAGAACTACAGAGGGATCACACTACAATCGGTACCACGAGAGGTTTTCAACAGAGTGTTGTCCAACCGAATGAAAGATTTAGTGGGCACCCAACTTTAGGATCGATACACCTGATTGCGTAAGCATCGGTCGTGCACAGATCAAATTGCGACACTACGGATCATCGTTGAACGATCAATTGAATGGAACTCATCACTACCCATCAACTTCATTGACTATGAGAAGGCGATTGACAACGTAGATCGAAGAACTTTATGGAACCTCCTTAGACACTGTGGTGTACTTGCGAAGATTGTCAACATCATCCGGAATTCATAGGAGGGATTACTCTTCAAAGTCGTGGATGAAGGAATGCTGGCAGATGCGTTCCAAGTGATGACCGGAGTCATACAAGGCTGCTTACATTTCCCTTCCTCTTTCTTCCGACAGTTGAGTGTATTATGAAACCCTGCGTCTGAGGGGAAGCACGGAATACGATGGACAGGTTGAATGCAACTGGACGATTGGGACTTCGCAGATAACCGAGCTCCTCTATCCCGTATACACCGACAAATGCAGGTGAGGACAGTCAGTGTAACAACAACACCTGTCTGTAGTGTTAGGGCTCAAAACACACTAGGGAAAAAGCAAGATCCTGAAACAAAACACGGGGAACACTGGTTCAGTCACACTTGATGGAGAGACTCTGGAAGATGTGGAAAAGTTCACTTATCTGGGCATCATCATCGATTAACAAGAGGGACCTGGTGCAGACATAAAGGCAAGAATTGAACATATGGGACTCAAAAGAACTTTCAACTAATATGAATGTCAGAACTGGGATCCTCCCAGTTAAAGGAGTTCTGGATTATAAGACGAATGTGAATGATGATTACAGCCATTGGCTTCTGTTCTCAATCACATCTAATACCGTTTCAAGCTAATGGGTTGCACCATCTGTCGGACCACAACCAGTAAGTTGTTATTGACTGATCGATGCCAGTTATATACGGATTTCTTTCATATCCCTGCACCATTTCATAAGCTGTAACATCGTAAACTATATGGTCCTTTTCTATTATGTTATCTGTCACAAAAATGTAATTAAAATGCAGTGATGCCTTTTAGTCTCTCCAGGATAATTGCACATTCACGTTATGAGAATTCTGTAGGTATAGAGTTTTTAGATGTTGGTGTTTCAGGTGTTAGTTTATGGGATTAAATGCCTCCTGAACTATGAGACTCATGGTTGTGTTAGTGTGTTTACTGTCTACCACTTTCATTATTTTGTAACTCAACGGTTATGAGTGTTCTAGACACTAAATACTCCATGTCTGGCAATTAATATTACTGAGCGTTTAAACTGTCGATAAAACTAGACTGTCATGGGTAAATTACTAATTAAAAGTGTCTAAATCAGTATTTTAGATTCTCACTGACTTATCTTGACATTAGATTGTAATATGGTTTCTGTCAGTTGAGTGTCATCTAGTTGTGACAACGGTTTGTGTGTAATAACTGGGTGTTGTGAATTTCATAAACATTAACTGTGGTCAACAACAGACTTTTGTAGTAGATATTACCTGAAACCCTTTCAGATTATGAATACTATGTACTAATTGTACCTTTTTCTTAACTTTCAAGGCAACGAGAATCTCTTTTGTTGCTTACCTCAGACCCACTTCCATATTTTTTCCTGTGTATTCAGTTAAGTATTTGTCGAAATCACTGATGACCTCCAACATAAATCATACGAATGAACAACTTCCTTGTACAGAAAATCACTCGGAGTTAAAAGAAGTTTTGAAACCGTGCGGTAAACTTCCGCCGACAAACGACATAAAATTGGATCGATCTTACTTTAAACGTAAAGTCCCAATGATATTCGTCGGTATTCAATGTGATAAACATGTCAAGACGTCTTTAGAGAAGTTGAAACCATTTTTCTGTCCTTTTATCCGACTACCTAAAATATCTAAAACTTAGTAAGTTTCCTAGTATAATGTTTAGATTGTTATCGTCAACACAACTCATTTCATATTTATACTGAATTGTTTAATTCTTAGAAAGTATCTGCTTGATTAGAAATTCATCTCTCTTTGGTTGTTTAATTCCAAACTCCTCAGGCGTATATGTGGATTTTGACATTAACCAATGCAATGTTTTTAATGGTTAGTTACAATTGTAGCGGCGTATGGTAGTTCTATATTTTGAATTATATGAATGTCAAAGATTATAGCTAGTGTAGTTCTACCTATAGTAATAGGAAAAACCTGACTCCAATCATTTAGTGGCGTGAAAGTAATACATTTCTGAGGTATTTTGAAATCGTTTTCAATTTTTCTCACGAAACGACATTACATCCCATACATCAAAGTTATATATATCCTCACTCTATCTCGAACAGAATAGAAGATCTCGTCAGCCAGAATGTGCACTAAACACATGCTGTACGACTGAAAGCAGTCGTACAAAACCTGTGAGTTTATTCATATAAAATTGTCTTGTTAGTTTGATGAATTTAAGCGATCCAACATTTGATATGTAGTTGAGTCTCGAGTGCTGTTAGAGGTATGAGGGCGGTTATCGCTTCCCGGTTGCCCACACCGAGGAAGGGTTCTTCTGGAGGTACCTGAAAAGGAAATTGGATTAGAGGTGGTCTCAGTGACCTGAGAGCGTGACCGCAGTGCCCAAGGGACAACTGCTTGAGGTCGGTCGTGCACGGCCTTTTCGTGGGAGGTTTTTGACGTGTTAGCTCCGTTCTTCAAAGAGCCTTACCGCCGGAGACGGGAATCCGTGAGGTAAGGTGAGGTGTGCATCTTTAGGGTCGACCTTTTCTAACCCCACTCCTCCTTGTGGGAAGACAGCATCGCTGTCATGCTGGTTGTCTGAAGGAAACACCTTACTGCTGTCACACCTCTGTACAGTCAGCAGTACGACTTCGCCTTCGGTTGCTTCATCACGATAGGCAAACCCGACCACTACGTCGAGGTAGCAACAACGGTCGGGTGTAGTTGAGTCTAAGGGCAGATAAGTGACTTCTGTACTGAACCTTTGTCGATAGTTCCCAACACTATTCGGCTGAATAGTATTGTGGTGTGTGCTACTGATGTCGACAGATATAAGTAGTACGTATCATCAATCGAAAGTGAAATGCCTGGATGCAGAAGGTTAAGAAGATCAAAGAAAAGAGAACGGGGACAAAGAATGGTTGGTGTGGAGACGAAAGAACAATCAAGTCTGAGACGATTGTCTGAAGTATTTGTTGTATGATTCTCCGATTTTACTAAGATGTTCTGTAATTTTGTATTCAAATACATTCGATTGTCCCACTTGTGTTCTCGTTCACTACAGTATTATGACAACTCAGAAGTGTCGTAATTTGTATGCACATTTCTACTGACTGCGGTTGAGACAAATTAAAAGCTAAGTTCCTTCAAAACCTCGTTGACCTTTTTGTAACTTATTGCTTTGCCTGTTGAATTTTCGTTCACTCATCTGCACTGATACAAGTGTGTTGGTTAACACATAATTCGTTTACATCTAGAACATGTTTTGGATTAAAATTTTCTTCTGCTACCAGAAACGACGGCAGCCATACCTCTGATAAATCAGTTTTAGTCAGTAATTAATTAACTGGTGTTTACACCTTAAAAGTGAATTCTAAACTGTTTCTTCAATACACGATGATAGGTGTAGAGTTTATTCAACTCAACATTTTACAGAGTCTACTTGGTCAGATTAGAGGATAAAGCGGTTTTGAGTTACTTTAATAGATGTAACTATTTTTAATTTAAATTGGCATAACTTATCTGTAAGTGTAGTAAATAATTATTTTATACAGAAAATGTTAAGTATTTTCAGTTAGATTTTTTAGAGAATTATATCAATCCTGTTTACATCTAAGTTTTACTTCGTCTATTTGCTCTGAACGTACAGATTCATTCTATTTTTGTAGAGCATCGACCTTCAAATTCAGCTTAACAGTGCTTTTCTTTCAGTTGTGCAACTGTTAACAGTAAGTAATGTATTTGTACCAATCTACACAATTCTCAATTTATTCGAAATTATCAAGTCAAACCTTGGTAACGATACCTGTTAACAGTAAAGTATCTATACACGTCGCCTCGCCAGTGAAACAGTCATCAGATTACCGATTTCCAGATTAAATGTATTGTTTTAAATCTAGGTGAAATATTGGTAAAAAGGGTTAAACCCATGTTACCAAAAATATTTCAATTTACTATCAGTTTCGCGGTGAGTTTGTAGCTGTTACATTTAGCTTTAGGTAGACTATTCTATCAAGTAGTATCATCCTAAAAAATATCTACTAATCTGATGGTATGCGATTTGGTATCGACTGAGAAATATAAATGGTCAGAGACATTCAGTAACTTAAAACAGGTTTCCGTAACATATGTTGATTTCATGGTTATCTATTACTACAATTTGATAAATTTTCTGTTCTAATCTAATATATCCCGCCCAGATTCCGCTTCTTCGGGATCTCTCGATTTCCCTTAGTGTTTTGCTAAGGAAAATATCAACTTAGAATAATTACTTCTAAGAAGATATTCTGACTACGCTCTATATACTCTTTAAAGTTTTTCAATCTTTGTGATAAGTGTTTTTGGGTACCACATAAAGCCTCCTACTCATAAAGTGTTTTGTTATCATAATTTATTTCTCCTGAAATAGTTTATTCATTCTTGATATTTCATTTTCTATCTTTACAAAAAATCACTTTCAGCCGAGATTCAAATGGATCGTTGCGTAAATTGATGCTGGTTCAAATGCCTGAACCTGATAAAATCTTACAGTTTATAACTGATTTAAATCAGTGGAACGTTGATTTACCTAAAGATTACGCAAATCTTCAACCAGTCGATTTATCTGTACCGAAATTGCCCGAATGTCTAAACGATTTGAAAGCTGAAAATTCATTGAACGATGAAGCATTTAAAAAAGTTAGTGTTGTAGAAGAAGAGATAAATATGTTGGAAAATATTGTCACCTCACCATGTCTCGTGAATATGTCGATCGGTTATGAAAATTTCACATTCGAACAAGTTATCAAGGAATTGTTGCCTGATTTCATCTTGCCTATTACTGGGTTTACTATAATTGGTCACGTTATACAATTTAATCTCAAAACTGAAGCGTTACCCTACCGTCATATTATTGGTGAGTGACGTGATGTCTTTACTTTTTCAAAAAACTAGTTGCTCTTTCGAAGTTTCAGTAAAACCGCTTACCGGGCATAAATCCCGCTTCTGCACTTAAGGTAGTCGTTTGCAGACATTATTGAGGCGTTGGTCTGCCGTAAAACCGTTCTCTTGATCCCTATGTTGTTTGGAGATCGATAGACTTAGTTTCTGTATGCTTGTAACAAGCTATATTTTCAATCTATGGTTCTTATTAAGTATCTAGTGTGTTTTTATTTTATTTTTACAGGTAATTACCGGTACCATTGTGCACCGAAATAAGTATGTCCTGCATAATTCAAGGGATATATAAGAGGGGAAAGGGAAGTTCTATCAGAAAATACAATTAAAACAAATGAGTAAACAAGAATGTCATATAACACCAGATACATTTCAGCTAAAAGTGTGCTCAAGAAAGACTTCTTTTAGTCAAAAGAGGTCCTCTCACTTTTACAAATAATTTAATAACGTAACAACAGAATCACCATTGACTCCTATTACAAGCGATGTCCGATAATATCTCAAACCATTGAGTCGCATCATCTCTAGGACCCAACCAAGGAGTCATAGCCGATCGACATTGGAAACTGGATGCTGACCACATTAGTTTTAATGAACTCACCTAGCTGAAGGCGCTCGGCCATGCATCCACACCAGATCACGAGTCAGAACGCCGTGCTCAACTTCTCCTGCGAGCTCTAGCCAGTTAAGATCATTCGTTTCTCGATATATTGATAGCCCATCAAATATATCTTCGGAGCTCCTCGCTTCTGATTTTCGATTTCTCTGGGCGGGCACGATTCAATCATAGAAGGTGTTATTGATTGAAGTGTTGTCAAACTAGAAATACCTGTGGTATCTGCAGTGTCAATGTTGATGACTTACTGAACTGTTTATTTTGTGGATTTATTTGCCACTACATGTTCAAAAAGCAACTAAAGTGGTACTTAGGCTAAAAAGCAAATCCATGCAATTCGAGAAAGGATTAACAGTTTCAGTAGGACAACTATTCTTGGTTCACATCCGAGAAAGTTTTTGAACTTTCATATATTTGGAAATATCAGGACTATTTATTTACTTATTTTTCCGTAGTGAGGAAAACTGTCAGTCCATATATGACTATCATTTGCAAATGTTTATGTTTGCTGTGTGATTCATAAAGTTATCGACTCACTCACATGTGTGACATATTTACTTTATTTTTTCATATTACTAACACCTTTAATATTTTATTTGACAAGTCTTTATTTTGTTCCCTATCATTTCTGACTAACGAACTACAGGTCAGGTTGCTCTTGATAAAATACCAAATATTCGCACAGTTATTCATAAAGCTGCGAATATTGAATCGGCTTATCGTACTTTTGAAATGGAATTACTTGCTGGTGCTCCTGATTACATAACATCAATGCGTGAAAACAGTGTAACGTTGCACTTGGATATTAGTAAAGTTTACTGTAATCCGCGTTTGGGTGAGCGTCCTATTTCCTGTTTATTTAAAGCCGCTAAATTTTTAATTTTCTCTTAAATTCTGTTCCAATACATTGCCTCATTGAATTGTTATTTTCTGTAAATTCCATTCGTGTTATCCCGTAAATGTCTTTTTGCATGTGTTCATAGTTTAATATTTCAAACACTTGCCACTTAAGTCTACATGTTTAGGTTTAAGTCTTCTAATAAATCTTAAAATTTCACGAAGATCAGCTTGAATGAATTATTTTTTGACAACAACGTGCTAAGTGTCTAAAGTTTAAGGGTTTATACTGAAATTTCGCTCACCGTGATTCTAAAGTGGTAGATAGCTCTAAATCTTTAAAATGTCAATTCACCTACTATATCGGTCCTTAAACCAAGTATTTCGGATATCTACCATGGAACTTTCTAAATAACCTACCCTTTTCAATGTTAAACATATCAAGCATTTATATCCCGGAAGTAGTTTAAATAATTAATTAGAAAAATTAGTGACTACTTCAGCTAGTTAAATTTACCTTTTTTATATTTGCAACCATTTGTTTTTCACCATAGTAAAGCAGATTTTTACTGTTCTTGAAGTGATTACTTACATTTTGTATGTTGAGAGTTCATAGAAAATTTCAGATAAATATTACCCAATGAATTCATCTTAAAAATAAGTGTTAGAAACCGTACACTGGCGTTTAGTGATAGGCTCTCTAGTCGGATTTTTCATGTCATATATGTTCTTCCCAACATTTGTGGTACTCCTACCAATTATGTTTGCTATTTATTTTGTGTCTTACAATGGCTCGTTAGTTGTATCGATTCAAGATAGTTACGTGCCCTACTTATGCTGTATTGCTTTTTGAAAATACTCCTCACACACATATGATTGTCTCCATTTAATATGTCCGCTAGTGATTGTCTTCAGTTTGCCCATTTGTATATTAATTGTGGATACTAAGTGAGTTGGCATTCTGGGTTTGTTCCTGCTGACTCTCTACTGGTTGTCGGTTTAAAACTGTAAAAGAAGTGTGTCGTAGCTTGATATCTGATTTGCATCGTAAATGCACAGCTAAGTTTCATGTCAACATTTTTATTATTTAATGAGGCGTTTTAAGTTGTGCACTAGCATTATTCACATCACTAAGGTAAACAGATTGTACAAAAAAGTGGTTAATGTATTACCCATATTGAAGAAAGTTGCCTGCTTGTTCCACCTAAAATCATGACTACTGTTCTGATGATTTGTATGATTAATAAATATGGAAACACTGATTATCTGCTAGAATAGTCTTGTTTCTATAAAAGCTGACAGTACATCCTATTTCCAAACTTTTTTGTTCATCACTGAACCTCCTAGCAGTCATTGTTGGTGTATCAAAGGAATATTCTTGTTGCACTAACTGAGTTTTCAACAAAATAATTTTTTTTCGTCTAGGTACTGAACATACACGAGTCGTTAACAGTTTGCGTCCACCTCTTCCAATTAATGATCCATTTCTTACACCGCGACCTATTCCTGGAGATCGTGTAGTTGTTTATGATGTATTTGCTGGCATTGGACCTTTCTCTATTCCAGCTGGTCGAGCAGGATGTCATGTGTTGGCGAATGATCTCAATCCTGATTCGTTTATTTGGCTTAAAAAAAACGTTGCCCAAAACTCATCGCGTAAACGCCCTTTGAAAAATATTGTCTGCTACAATATGGATGGACGTGAATTTATTCGTGAAGTTAGTCATAAATTTGTGACAATTACCTAAACTGAGCATTTACATGGAAAATGAATTAACTGTCTTAGACTTTGCTTAGTGATTGTTTCGTTTCCCTGTGCAACCACTATGAACTATAAATTAATGATGACTATCTTCGTAAAAATGATTTTATATATGGATTTACAATGAAAAGTTATATTTCCTAAATTGAAGTGTTTCGCGAATTACGTATCTCTACATTTTTTGTAAATATGTAATATATTAGCTTTACCAAATTGTAGAAAGATATTGTGATATGCTCAATTAATATTATTATTGTTTAGTAATTGACTTGTCCAATGGTTATTACATAGGTTACTTGGTTTTTAATATAACTTGTGGAAACTGTGTAATTGGTGATCATAGCTACTGAAATGTTTGATACTGTTCTTTCTAATATTCTTCAGCTCGAGTGTTTTAGATATATGATTATTACATATTTAAACAGTTGAGATCATTCACAAGATGTGTCTACGATTCATCAAAATGAATGTAATGGTTCGGAAAAGTCATGAACTTTGTATTTCACTATTTTTATCAAAATATGCTGGATTTTTAGTTATGTTACATCACGATGAATATGACAGCGTGTTATTGTTCCATTACCTTGTTTTACTTTGAAATGTGGTTATCGTTTTCATTCTTCCGTTAAGTATGTCTTAATACTTTTTAAGTTACGTTCACTGATATTTCTTTCTCGAAAGGTTGCTCTATAGCTTGTTTGTTGGTTTTCTTATAGGTGCGTGTCATGATATTCCAACCGTGTAGAATAGATCGTTTTAATAGGAAGTTTATATTATTATTAAATGATAAAACTTTGTTCGTTACTCTGTTTTGTAACACCTAACTGCTATTATGATTTCACTCAGACTGGACCGAGAAATCTACGTTAACACCTGTATGTTTAAATTTTTCTCAAAGATTTACTAAGACAGCTCCCTTGAGACAAACATGTTAGATTATATGGTTTTTCGAACCAAATTCACTAACTTTACTAACTTGTATTTCTCTGAGATCCAAGAATTCGTAGGTATAAACATGTGAGTCATTAAAAAAAATAGGACTACACCTAATCAGTATCTCAAGGTTTTCATGTTAGTTGCGATCTGATAGCAATCATGATCAAGTTTTAATTTAGGAAAAATCAAAAACCAAGTGCTTTTGTGTTTTATTTTTGTAGCTAGTATCGTTTAATAGTGGAAAACTTTTGCATCCCTCCTCGATCACTTACGTTGACCATATTCGGAATGTTTTCGAAATTAAGTTGAAGTTTGTTATCTAAATTATGTATTGTATTGTCTTGTATTATAACATATCAGTTATCAATTACTTGTTTCTTTCTTATATGTTAGATTCTTCTTCCGCACTACAGAAAATATGGGAATTCTGACACAACTGAATCAGCTGATTGTGATTCTATTTCACTATCAATTGATCGTTTTGTAGTTATTATGAATCTTCCTCAATTGGCTATAGATTTTTTAGATGCATTTGTACCACCATTGAATTGTATAAAATCATCAAATATCATTACTGATAATAGTGTAACTCCCAATCCAAATGATTCATCTGTTATACGTCAAAAATTTATTAAACCTTTATATATTTATTGTTATTGTTTTATGAGACGTAATATTGAATCGGAACAAACTATTAAAATACGTTTAGCTAAAGCTTTAAATACAAATATGACTGATTTATTTCAATTTATTAATTCAACAACAAATGATGAAACAGTTGTTAATATGAACAATGAACAAATTAATGATAAATGTTTCATAAGAAATTGGCATTATCGTTTTGTACGAAATGTTGCTCCATATAAAGATATGTATTGTGCTGAATTTGAATTATATTTACCAAAACTATGGTTATTTTATGATTATTCAAGTCCAACAGTAAAACGTTCTCGAACTACTGAAAATGAACTAATTGAATAAATAAATAAAAATATTGAAATAATAATAAAAGGTAAAACAAAAAAGGAGTGAATGAATAATTTACTAGTTTTGATCAATTGTAAATAATATTTCTAAATATTATTAAATATTTTCTTTAAAGTTAAAAAAAGAAGATTGAAATATAAATAAAATTTATTTAGATATGACTTGTGTTCTTCAATAGTTCTGTATCATTTCATATATCTTTATACATTACAAATAAACTTTTATAAGAAAATAAAAGGAATTGTTTGAGTTGAGTAGAATGGTTGTGTGTGATTAAGATCTTTCGAAGAATACATTTTTAGGTGATTCATATCCTATGTTTAAATGATCAGATTATCTTCATTTCAAGTGGTTGTATTCTTTTGATTGAATGAAGTGATAGAGTTATTATGAAAAAGATTCAACTAACTATATTGAAAAATCGCCCCCAAATGCCCTGGTACGACCGAGAGTGGGGAGAGTCCGCTTTCCCTCTCGAAATGCTCTCACATGGCCACGCGTATATAGCCTCTGCCAAGAAAGTCCTACTCACTTCCTTCTCGTGGCGGGGGTGTTGTTTACGACATTGAGAGGACGAAAAGCGAATGTCCGGCGCTTTGACCGGTTTGGTGGACACAGAGAGTCCACCTAGGGGAGTTGGAAAACCTTAATTCCAGACCACTGGTGCACATGGGCTCCAGTATCCTGAAGGAACAAATGGTGTGTGTGAACCAATTATTGGTCACCGACTACTATGGGACTGTGCCTCCTTATGTTGCGGATCAGACCTTCAGGTCGAAGGCTACGGGTGTGGCCCCCTAAGAAAATCACCTACTTCGGTTTGGGCACCCGGACAATATCACAACCCTCACACAAATCTCATTTGATTTGTGTGGCACATATGTATTTGGTGCCTCCTTGTACCAATATCTATGTGTCCAAATAAATATATAAAATAAAATCTACTTGAATCAAAAGAAATTGTTTTTATTAATTAAATGATATGGGCTCAGTGGTTAGGCGATTGCGCGTGAGACTGATAGGTCCTGGGTTCAAATTTCGCGATTTGGGATCGTTGGTGCGCTCTGCTAGAGTCCCACAATAGGACCAAACGGCCATCCAGTGCTTGCAGGTTTCCCATAGTGGTCTAACTTTGATTGATTCATGACCTCAACCATTGAAATTACTACAATATCCACAAAACCCCTTCTGATATAAATTATTATTCACCAAATATTACTCCATCTCGTTTTGAACAATTATAATCATTCATGAAAAACTGGACGAGCGAATTATGCTAAGAATTTATTTCTCCTAAAGCACATGTGGATGACTGGCTATTCCCACCTTTTCAATTAACCCAGCTAGAAAATGATAGGTTCTTTATGAAATTTGTTTCTTTGATCGAAGCAGGCAAAATAGGTTCTATCGTTCAGATTCGTAAGCTAAACCTTGAGATGCATACATTTCTTAAAGCTAGTGGTAATACATAACTGGTGGAGGCGACATTCGAAAGTGAATTTTGTAGAGAATGAATCGCTGTTGGAAACATTTCTAATCTTGTATCATGTGAGATGGAAGTAAACTATTTACCTCCGACAATCTTACAATACTATTATCTGTAGTAAACGATTTAAAATGATGATACATGTATTCCCAAGACTTCATTTGTGTGATTACTCTCATGCGTATAAATCTCGTAGATTGTATTTCTGGAATATTGATATTGTTATATCCTGACGAAGAATAAATGAATACTAACGGCTAGGCACGATTTATGGACTATTGTTGAGTATATTCTTTCCGGATAATTATTAAGTAACTTTATTATATATATACGGGCAATTTTTTTAAATGTCTGTTTCATTCTTCATAGCGTCATGCTTTTCTACGTGAAGTTAATTGAAAAAGATAAATTTATTGACAAGAAAATGAAACTCATCTCGATTTACTGCTATTTATTCTAATTCTGATGATCTGTTCTCTAAGGCGTTCAACTTGTTTATATACTTCGTATGACAGTTTTACTAGGTTGTTCTTCAAAGTTTATTGAATATATACGGCCTTAAATCTTGTTTTCGGTCATTATTATTGAGCAATTTTTCGCAAAAAAAGTGACAACAGTTCTGGCTGCAGCGTTAAAAATGTTTAAGTTAGTTTTGAACTACTTACAAGTAGCATGGTTTATTACGTAAACTTATCATGATCTAACGGCACCGAGGGTCAAAGGTCTTGTTGCTTTCCATAAATATTGCTTCGAAATTTGATCTAAAATAATAGTAGCTGTCAATTGTAATCGGAATTGCTGCGCAGAATGAGCAAAACAAAGTCGCTTTTCGAAAGTATCACAACTCAACTAATATTAAATTTGTCCGCTTGTTTTTCCAGACAAAATCGTCTACACAAATTAAAGAAATTGAGTTATGGAAATCAATGTTTGTATCAGCGCAATCTGGGACGTGATTAGTCCTAATAGGGGATTATGATGTCACGGAATACATATGTTCATATTGTAAGTATATGCGGAACTCGTGGCTGCTTTCTAGAAATCCATTTAATTTTTTTAAATATTTGATTGTGTCATAGCAACGTAATGCTATTTAGCAAAATGACACTTAAACAGATACAATGATTTGTCGTCGACAAAATTTTTTTTTAATGTGAACAATTTCATGTCAAAATTCAATACGGAAATAAAGTTGATAAGCATCAAACAAAATAAGACCACTCTTTTTTACTTATTGGATTAGTTATTTATTAGAAATAATAGTATAGAGAACATTATAGATTAGCTAAGAAATTTTTGGGTCAAATAACTTTGTTGAGTTATTTGCCCGGATATGATTCCAGACAAAAAAAGCAGTTGAATAATACTAGCTAACTTAACTGATATGAGTATACTAGCACATGGTGGATTTTGTGTAATAATGTTTAATATACTTTAATGGATTGCATTGTGAAACGCTGAGAAATAATTAAATGAACGTCAATATGTAGAACCGGAGGATTATTCGGTTAGTCAGTTTTTATTTGAATGTTTTAGATACATAACAGGAAATTCTTATAGTTCACATGAAAGAAAATATACTTGGTATTAACAATTGATGACGTTGAAAGATCATTTCAGTTATCTCATACCTCACAACTTCAATATTAGAAAAAAATAATTCAGATTGATTGTGTATCTATGTTTTAGTATATTTAGGTTTGGGCTAATAATAGAATCCGGGACATGTGTTTGATTTTATTGAAGACTCATTATTTGGATGTACCTGGATCTAAGTATTGATTTTTAAAGGGAAACTTAAGCCCAGTACCTATTACATCAAGCATGTTGTTCATTAATATACTGGGTCTCAGATAGCCACTAACTTGTTCAATGGATATTATATGTATTCGTAAGAGTTAATTATCTTGTTGATAAGAGTGTTTCTGACGTAAATAAGAGCATCGTATAAAGCTATTCGTCTGTAGTTATTTCAAAAGTGATTAGAAAATCGCCTAATGTGTAACTTAGCATGAATATAGTATCTTTCTGGAGCACAAACTTACGGTTATCTCGTGTTTTATGATCAGAGTTTAGAGGATATCAAACACTAGTAACTCTTGTTCTAAGCTGTATATATTTTCTTATGCATATACAAGTAAAACTCCGCCTGTAGCTCTCCTAGGGTTACTGCCAGTCCCAAGTCTGGGTAAAAAAGGAGGGTTGGACATTGGGGTCAGCAACCCCATTCCTTAGAAAACAACCTTCCTAAAAAAACGCTAGTCAACATAAACAATACAAGTAAAGAAATATTGCGAGACACATTTTTTTCTCATAAAACAAACAGCTATTATTGACAATTGGTTGGTAACTTAGGAAAGAAGCACCTTTTAACTGTTCACTAAATTGGTTTTTAATGAATAATAACATTGTGTCTTCATAGCGTATAACTGGTAGACACCAATACCACAAAAACATTTGTAATTATCATTGTAAATTATAAAGGCTTGAACAAATACTCTATGTAATAGGTTTTACTGATGTTTTTAGTTGTGATCATTTATTTCACTTTATGCTAAGAACCATATTATCAGATTACTGATTATTGTAAATACACATTATTGATAATAGACACTGTGCTATCTTGAATAAACAAAATACAATGGCTAAATATTTATGAACCACAAAATATTCTTCTCACAGCTTAATCGAAGTCCTTCACATATAAACTTAATGGATTTTTCTTTGAGATATCAGTCAGATGTGATAAAATAACTTAGTAGAATTATCTTTTTTTTCTATTCATTCTAACTTTGTATTGTATAGCAGAGTTCATTTCCTGTACGTATGAATGTATGTTAAGATAATTTTTGTTTAATACCCCTTGAAATTAAGGATACACATTTATGGCATAATAGTTAATTATACACTTAATTATTATATAATAGTTGAGATCATGAGTCAGTTAAAGTTAGACCATAATCGTAAATCTAGAAGCACTGAACAGCCATTTCACCATAATGTGAAACTCCTCATCAATGTGCATTCACGATCCCACCTCGCGAGATTCGAACCCAGGACCTATCCGTCTCATGTGTGAACGCTTAACCACTAGACTATTGAATCGGAAGAAATCTAACGGTGTTAATATTCACAAAATCCTTTCTGATATTATTTAATAATTTATAATAAATTCAAAGTAGAAAACTTATTTTTTTTTTAACGACAATTTACATGAACTCTAAATGTACATATGTATATATTTGATTGCTTTGTAATTTTCTCACAGTTTCAATGGCGTCATTATATAATAAAGAATTAATTATTTAGTTTTATGTAAATCATAATTAAATACACAAAAAAAAATTACGATAAAACAATTTTTATTCATAGAAATCTTGTTCTTACTGAATTTAGATGAGAAAAAATTGAATGAAACATGTAATTTCTTCCACTATTTTTATTTAACACATGAAATCTGATCATATAAATGATATTGTATATACAAGTTATATGTATATAAAGAGAAAGATAAAGAGTTTGGAGGAAAGAGAGATATCAACAACAACAACAGCAGCAACAACAACAACAATAAAAAGGAAGGATAATACAAACAATATTGGTTAAGATAATTTATATTATCAACAATAAACTAGAGAGATAGATATAAAAACAATTCAATAATGAATATAA